AGGCCCTTCCTGATGCCTCTCTGATGTTTTAGCCAATGAACTGTGGTGTCCCCACAGGGGTCAATCAATTCAACACCTTCATGAAGTGCCAGGAGAACCCATCCAGACATCTGTATTGTGGCATCCATGTCCAGGTGATGCAGAACCCAATCTCTGCTTCTCATCAGCTTCTATAGAAGCTCTGTGGTCTGAGCTATTAACTCAATGGGAGCTAAGGAAGTGCAGATGGGAAGGAAATTATGCTAATGATGCCTATGCTGCATTGGTGGCAACCAAATCTAGATATAAATCAGATGGTTAGAAAATACTACAAAACACTGAAGTGGTTTGGCAACAAAACACTTTGGGCACAACTTGTATTTAGAATCCTTTTTAAGTGGCATTTCATTACAATCTTTTCTATAGCCCAGTTAGAATCCTTTTGTTGTGCTTGGAATTTTAAGGATTCTTACCTGGAAACTCTATTTCTGAAATACTCTTCTTTCAATTACCTGATTTTGAATTTTGCTTTTTAATTTGATTATTTAACTAGTTTTAAACAGTCCTGCACAACACAAAGGTATTTGGAAAGATGAATTCCAAAAGTCTGAAGTGAAAAAAAGGGCTATTCCTTTTAATTTTCACTAAGTGTCTTCTACTTTTTCCTGTCTCGACCATTTTCTTAGCATCACTGTTAATTACTTAAGTGTCAGCAGGTGGAAAGACTCAGAAGCTAATCAGAATCAGTCCTGCCAAGTATGGCATGTTGTTTGTTTATGATCGAGTGGCTTCAGAGCTATAGCTGATAGTAATGTTAAAACCATATACTGCATGTGAAATCCCATGAATGTTGGCTAGCCTGGGAAATAAAAAAACCTTACCAAAATAAGCAAAGATAAGCCACCTCATAATGCTGCTAAGAAACTTTTATCAATGCTATCCTATTTTGCTATAAATGATCTTAAAAGAAGAGAAGATACTGAAGTGTGAATTACTTCTCATAAGTTTGTCTCAGCGTAGATATTTAATCCGGGTGTTTTTCCACAACAGCCTTGAGAGGTAGGCTGAAGCTGAGTGTGACTGCTCAGTGACTTGAACCCTAGATTCCCCATTCCATGTTGCTTAGAAACAGCACTATTACATTCTGCATTGAACCCTGGAATAAATAGGCTTCATCGAAATGGCACACGGCATCTTTTCTAATGTTTCTTCCCTTACCTAAGTTGGAGGTTCAACCACTCAGCTCTACCAGAAAAAGCAGATGATCCTGTAGAAATAAACTGTATTGTTCCATTCCCTGTGAGGGAGGCAAAAGTGATAAAAACAGTATTAAATAAACGGAGAGATTACCCAGAAAACGAAAGAGAGCTGGAATCTCTCTAGGAAAGTTCACAGCCCTTAGAATGACTTCCCTTACCTAGCGAGCTGTCCAAGCTTTGATCTTCCTGGGAGATTCTTCTCAAAAACAGCTCTTGAAGGGAATTCAAGGGATTGTTTCCTCAAGGTGGTTGCTGATGGCCTCCCAGGAGGGTCCCCAGATATGATCCATCAGAACCAAGGAAAGGGATACCACAGGAGAAGAACAGGAGTTTGTTCTGTGTCCTCAACTTTGCAGGCCATGATATCCAGTGGTGGGGACAGAAAGGGGCAATGGAAGAATGGTGTGATGGAATGCAGTAGAGAACCAGGTTCACAGGAAGGAGGGAGCACAGTCCAGGAGGGAGGGTGGGGGAGACAAGAGGCAACACAGTCCAGAGCAGGAGTGTGGGAAGAGTAAGAGACTTAGAATAGCTCCTCCCTAGAATTTCCCAGGGTATATCCATTAGGTTAGCTTAGTATAGATTTCGTCTGGCAAGATTCTGTCTATATGGTGTAAGCAATAAAGGAACTGAACTTGGTTGGATCATTTCCCTGTTCTTGGGCTCAGCCTGACATCTGCCCTAAATATATCCTCTGGAAGGAGTGTTGGAAGAATTTACTTTAAGAAGCAAACACTTTCATTAATAATTAGTAATGCCAGAAAATGGTATGAATGATTTTAAAAATATAACAAGACCCTTTTTGAGCTCCCAAAATGGGTTGGATGCATCCTCCCCGTCCATGAATGGTTTCTTTCATGGTGCAGATAACCTCACGCTCTACTTTCCCTCTCTATTCTACCACTATTAGGGACTTAAAGCATTTAAGACTGGAATAACCAAAGGCCATTCACTCCCTTTGGGACTGTCCATGTCAGTAACACTCATGTTTCAAGTGGCTCTGAAAAAACTGTCCTTTTGATAGATAATGTAGATTGCTGAGGCAATCGCTGCCCTTTTCTCTCTTGGCTGTCGCCGCCCTCGCCCTCTGTCCTGGCTCCTGCCTCTGCCAGTCAGCGGCTGTTTTTGCTGATTCCTGATGCTTAACAAAGGCAGATATATCAAGCCGTGTTTTTGGCTGGCTGAGCTGAGGGGCGCGTGTGCTTGTGTGATACGGATGATAAGGACTGGCCAGGAGCGCGCTGGGCGCAAGCAAAGCGACCTGCAGAAACGGGCCTGCCGGAGGAAGGTCTTCACCGGCCGCCCTCCCCCGGGGGGGGGCGGGCAGGCAGCCGCCCCAGCAGCCACAGCTCCGGCAGCCGCACCTGGGTGCGTCTCT